ACTCCCCAAGCCAGGTCTATTACGGCCCACTCTTCCTTATTTAATTTACAATTAATCCTAGCCACTATATCCGACCGTATATTCCAGTACAGTAGTTCCATTACGGTATAACCCGTCTAACTGGGCTATAATATTACCCCCCCCCTCGAAGAGGATTCTACCCTCAGAATCCTAAAAAAAAGGAAAAATCTTAGCTAATGTGTGGTTCGAACCTATAGTCTTGCGATCGCTTTCTAAGTAAGGGAGGGATACCCTCGGGGTAGCCTATAGTATAATTTTAAGGCCCTCAATCCTACTACTGCGTTATTAAACTAATTTTACGAATTACTTTACTTTATTGTAAAACGACTTACGGCGGTTATTTATTAATCTATACTAAGGTCTTCTTTCTTCACTTGTATAAACGGTTTAACCTCTTTAATAGCCTACCTTCTATTTTACTTTCTTTTAGTATATTATTATTATTATAATTATCTAATATTAAATCCTTTATTTGTACTCCCTTTTAAATTCGGAATCGCTTTAACGGGCTAGACTTATCCGGGTTTATATTGTAAAAGGCTTTGAGCAGGTCGGGCGAATTTTTAAAATTTCGGGCGGGGTACTACGTAGGGTTAGGGTCCTAACCCTTCTAATTCGCTTAATAATATAACTTTCTATTAATTAACTAATAGATTATAATACCTTTAACCTTCTATTTTTCTTAATTACTAATTAATTCTCCCGCCGGATTTTCGTTTATTTATCCCGGTAGCGGGTTATTTATATACTTTCGGAGGCGGTCAGTATAGTAAACTTTTGCTCCGCGCTAAGCCGGCGGGAGTTCGAGCTTATAAGAGTGGCCTTTTATTATTTTAATTTTATAAAGGATGTAGGTAAGAAGAAAATTGAATTTATTATTTAGCCGATCGGTTGACTAGGACTTTTTAATAATAAATATTTTATTACTTATATTAAAATTAGGGTTGCGCTAATGTTTATTCGTTTAATCCGCCCATTTCGCCTAGGCTTTAATTATAGTGTTATACGCCGATTTTTAAAAATTATATAGAATCCGTAAGGTTTATTATACTTCTTTGCGAAAGTATTGCTCTTTAACCGGTATTATAATAGTACGATAGTCCTAATAAAAAAATAGTAATATAAGGAACCCTATAATTACTTTATAGGGGGATATACCAATGCTTTCGTAGTATAGGGAGGCCTAAATAGCATTAAGAATAGGGAGTACAATAGACTAATTATTTTAATTATAGTTAATAAAGGGGTACAACTATTAATTAATATATTAATTTATAATTTCCGCTTAACCTACTATTTAAGAATATCCGGACGAGGATAGTTTCTACCTAATACCGAGGATTTTAAATATTTTATCAGTAAAAATTAATATAAATTAGGGACCCCCATTATTTATAACCTCTTTAAGGTAATTATAAATTCGCTAAAGTCCGTAGTAATAAAGGTAGGCAGTTTATTTAATAGTAATAGTATCTTTATAGGGGATATACTAAAAGGCTTTAAATAGTTAGTCTACTATAATTATTATATTATTATATCCTTACTTATCCTTTAATATACTTTTAAAATTAATTATAATATAGCGTTAAATATAATTAGAAACGCCGAATAAGTATAGTTTTCCAGGTATTTTATTTTAGAGAACCTTCGATACTTTATAAATCTAATAATTATTAATAAAACGGTTAATATCGTTAAATATTCTAACCTATTAGTATTATTAGAATATAAAGCGGCGGGTTTTATTCCTACCGGGGTACCCGGTGATAAATTGAGTATAAGTTTTATGGATTAACGCCCGGTGTAAATCTCTTTTTAGAACTACCAAACAGTTTTCCTTCTTTAATAGTAACCTATCTTTTAATAAGTTAAATTCTGTATTTCTTCCCTTTACTTTAATTCAATAGACGGATAAGGAAGGATCTTCGTAGTTGGCTTTTAAAAGAATGTCGACTAAATTTATACTTAATAGTACGGGTAGTTCCTTATTACTATTTAAAAGGTATAATTCGGATATAAAGTTATTAATATTACTACTCGATATATCTCCCTTATTTCTAGCGAACGAATATATTCCTTCTTATTCTTAATAGAAAAGTCGGAGGGTACGTTAATCTTCTTTCTTATCCTTTACAATTTAGAAGTCCTTTAGCTTTTTAGAAAGGGCGTTGGTAGCTATATTCTCCTTTCTAGGTTGGTATATAAGTTTAAAAGTATATTAAAATATTAATTCTACCTATCCGGTTTAATAGGAATTAAATAGTTTTTTTATAGAGAAATACTCTAAGGTTTAATAATTGGTAATAATAATAAATAGGTATATACTAATTAATTCTACCCGCTACATTATTAGTACCTTTATAATAGCGAATAATTCCTTATTATAGATAATATAGTTTAATTCCGCCGGGAGTATAGTTTTAGAGAAGAAGGTTATAGGGTACCAATCCTTATCTTCTAATTATAATTAGAATAGGATACTAGTATAAATTCTATTTAAAGCGTTAGTTTTTATTTATATAAGTTTATTATAGGAGAAGTGGGCGAGTATTAGTATTTTTAATAATTACTCTTTCAATTTATCGAAGGAGGTTTAATATTCTTTAGTCTATTCGAAAGGGGTATCCTTTTTTATTAACCGGGTAAAAGGGTAAGCTACTTAGCCGAATTCCCTTACGAATTTGCGATAGAAATTGCAGAAACCGATAAAGGATTGGATTCCCTTTATATTAGTAGGTTTTTTCTAGTTCCGAATTATAGTAATTTTCTCGGGGTTTATAGATATATTATTTATAGAAATAATAAAACTAAAGAATTTTATTAAGGTAATATGAAATTTATATTTTTTAATATCGGTTTGGAGTTTAGCATCGCGAAATTGTTCTAGTACTTTTTTAATATAAATTTTATATTCTTCCGCTATCTCTAAGAAAATTAAGATATCGTCGATGTAGGCGCTATAGAAATTATTTAAGTATTTTATTAAGATTTTATTAATAAATTATTAGAACGTTACTAATTTATTTATTAAACTAAAAGGTAGAACCTTATATTTATAAGTATTATAGTGAGTATAGAAGGTAATTAAGTCTTTGTTATTTGGGAATATCTAGATCCGGTAGAAGGCTTAGCGAATATTAATTTTAATAAAGATTCTAGCTTTAGAGAAGCGGGTAATGGTTTTTTTGATAAATAATAATAGGTAGCGGTCCTTCTTAGAAAGGGTATTCAATTTCTAGTAATTTATATAGAAGTAAAGGCTTCTATTTGCCTTCGGAGTAAATAGGATTAGTATTACTTAGGGGGCCGTACTTGGTTCGATAAATCCTTTATTTAAATTCTTAGTAATATAGTCCTTATAAATTTCTAATTCTTCGAAGGATATTTTATATAATAGATTATAATTTAGATCTTCCGGACGGGCGCCCTTATTTAAAAGGATATAATAGTCAATATCCGATTGTAGGTCGGGTAGGGCGTTTAATTTTACTTTATTAAAGATTTTAAGGAAGTTGTAGTAGTAATTGGGGATTTCTTTTAGAATTCGCTACCTTAATTCTACTTTATTTATTTCTAAGTAGGTTATATTAGAAATTTGCTATTCTTTAATAAATTGATTTAATTTATAAAGGTTAGTTATACCAATATATATTTTCTTGGCTATTTTATAAAAAGGGTCCGCGTTTATAAAAGCTAGATTGGTGGGTTAATTTTTAGTCTATCCTTAATTATATTTCAAACGGTATCGACTATAGGCGTTATACAATAGGTATAGATTTTAGGTTAGTTCGGGTTTAATTTTATATAGTAGCGCTTCCTAAGGGAGTTCGTCTAATTTTAATAGCGTTTTATTTGTTTATTCGAAGAGTTATTGATTTATACGATTAAAATACTGCTTAATCGCATTTAGAGATAGGGAGTATAGAGGATAATATTGTAGAATAGAGAGGGGACGCTATGAAGGGGTTGGGTTTGTTTGTTCGGAATCCGCGGGATACTCTAATTTAGCTATCTGAGATTGGACGGCCTTGTAGTAATCCCGGTTATTTCGTTAGTATTAGTCTTCCTTTTGCATTTTGAATTTTCGGGCTTCCGCGTTTTTCTAGAAATCTAGATATTTAATAGGCTTTGAATCCTCTCTTTTATTCATTTTAAGGTCGTAGGAGAAATCCGGTTTCTAAGAAGAAGGGAATAATAAATATAAATGGGCCGAATTAATAAAGACGTTATTTTAAATTAGCTATATATTTCTAATAATTATATCGTACTTTAAATTGGGAAGGATAATAATTTATTAATTAAAGATTTTATAATTTTAGATTTTAATATATCTTTTAAAGGTAATTTCAATAGAATCGGGTTTAGATTTCTTATAGGGAGTAATATATCCGGGGTTAAAATCGTTATATATAGGTAATTTTAATAGTTTCTTTAATTTCCGGGCGAAAGAGAGGTTTATAATAATATAAATATTAGTTCTAGTATTAACGAGAGTATTAGGGGTAGTAATAATAATTTTATTAAGAATTACGCTATATTTAATGAAAAAGGAGGACCTTCTACTAAAATAATTATAAAGATCGAAATTTAGGTATTAAATATTATTAATATTAATTATTAATATTCTTTAGGTAGAGTTTTAATTTAAAGTGATTAATTTCCTTCGATAGTGTTAGTTTCTTTATCCGAGGGAGAAGATTTATTATTAGAAGTTGGAGTATTGAATAATTCTTTAATATTAGAAGAATTTTTACCCTAAATAGTATTAGTAATAGAGTTTAAGTGTCATGGCACTGGCTGGTGCCATGCCCGGTCGCACCACCACCTGGCGACCCAGGTGCACAACCGGTCGCATTCACAGGCACGACCTGTCAAGGCGGTCAAGGCTGGCAGAACGAAGCATATAAGCACTTCCATTCGTGCCAGCCTTCGGCCACCTTTCCTCTCCTACTTCTTTAGCTTTACTAATTTATTCAAATCGGCTTCTTTAGCCCAGCCTTACCTATGCCCAAAATCGTACTATTACACTTTAATAAAACTAACCTCTACAACGGGGACATTATAAAACATCCCACCTCATCGACAACCCCGTCGCGTGTGAACCCCGCGACGTTGCGAGCTTCGTATCAGCACTCCGAGCTCAACGAAGACAATATCGACAACCCTACGATAAGTGTGCGATTTACGCTTCAAACCCATCTTACGACGCCCACTCCGTAAGCCCGACCACTCTCTAGTTGACCCCATTCCACAAAAAAAAAAAAAGACGCCATAGCGCGATCCCCCACTCGGAAACAGGTCACGCCAGGTGCGCCTACCAAACCCAACAACAACCCCCCCGCCGACAACGGCAACAATTACAAGGAGTCCCTTTACCTCTCCAATAAAGACGACAATACTAGAAATAATTCCATCGACGACCTTGCCTATAAGGACTCCCCCTCGCCCTCGGCGTCTCGCACGAAGAAGACGCCCCCCAACGCAACACCAAATCAATCTAACAAACAAACTTACCTATCCCCCGGCCCTCGCCTCAAACAAGTCAAGTTTGCCGCCGACGCCGAAGCAGTCCTCAATCGCCGCAAAGACCAACTTGACAATACTCGTCTACGTCGCGTGTCTATCAAAGCTATAGGCCTGGCAACTAAACTCTCACCTCCGGACGAAGACGCCCCGTCAAAGACCATCGGTCGAGACCCCAAGTACCACATCGAGCCTAACCTCAACTACCCCCCATCAGGCCACTATTCGATCCAAGACCTCAAGTATATCTATATACGCGATATTCACCCCCACATCGAAAACTTTAAGTATAAAGAAGTAATGAGCGGTATTTGGGATGACGTAATTATCAAAACCAACTAATTAACTCAGACTTTCGACAATCAAAAGGCCGGAACTTTGCATTTCGAACCCGTTACAAACGCCGGTAAACACTCCAAGTTTAGCAAATACTATAGCACAATAGATATGGACCTGTTCAAACGAATCTTCGACAAAGACCCAGTAAATATATAGATTAAGGTCCGCTCGCGCCTCTTAATACTAGAAGCATATACCGCCCTAACCCCGCATTTACACCGCCTAGCGGGAAGCGTAGATGCTAACCTAAATAGCCTAAATCGTTAGATCATTCTTCTAGCCTAGAAAAGTGCTAAAGCCCAAATTACATTAGAGAAACGTCGCACTGTAAGCGAACCCCTCTCCGATAAAACCCCCTACTTAAGTAAAGAAGACTTCAATAAAGCAATAGATACCGAAATTAAACGCATACTCGCCCTAGAAGTAGCGGATACCCTAGGGGAGGAACGTAAGGATCAACAGGCACGTATTACCACCCTAACTCAAAACTTTAGTAATAAAATCGATAATCTCACAGCTAAGTCCAACTCCCACATCGCCTCGGTAGAACGCGAAGCGCGGAGAGCGGAAGCCAACTTCAACCGCCGTATTAATAACCTGGCCAGAAAGAAAAACAACCTCAACCAGCGGGTAAAGGACTTAACCAAACAGAAAAATAAAATAGAATTGGAATACCTCTCTAAACAAACCCAATTGGAAGAGGACAACCTTAAACTATACGATTCGATTAATACTTATAACAACCGGATCCAGAATTTAATGGCTATCATCGAGCAAATGAAGGAGGTCCCGAACAATAAGGCTATTCCTACTAGCACGAGCAAGGCTCCGCTCACCCCTAACGACCCCTCCCTTAAACACATCACAGTCCGGCAGAGCAAGGCTCCTAGGACTACTCCTTACATCCGCCCCTCAATTAAGGAAGTATACAAAAACTTAGATAAAGCTCCGATAGGCATACCCTCGTCAAAATTCTCCTCTAATTCTCACTTACGTACCGTAGCTAGAGACTACAGTCACCGAACAAGGGTCACCTTCTCCGAAGATCGAAAGGAAGTCGATCCAACGCGAAGTAGATCTAGAGACAAAGAGAGACTAAGATCCTAAGGACGATATATAACCGGAAGGGGTAGAAGCGGAGGCCCTCCTAACGGTGACTCTTCCGATGACGATTATAGTCGTAAACCACCCCGCCGGTTACCTAAATATCGGGACCCGGATTTCCGCGAAAGAGGTTACAGCCACACTCCTCTTTCTATAACCCCCCTATCTACAGTAACTATCTCCGGAAAGAAGTCTACTAAGGTACCGGAAATCCCTCGTTTCTTCAATAATACTACAAAAAATAAAGTTACCTTTAACGTATGGTACCACCAAATGGAGAACAAGTTCTACGTCAATACCGATTATTACACGGACAACCGCGCAAAATTTAGCAATATCTTCAATCGACTTGGTAGTTCGGCAGCAGAAAATATTTTACCCTTTCTCAACCTAACCCATCCCAACCGATTAATTATAAGCGAATAGCTTATAAAATACTTGTAGGAAGCCTATCATGACCATAACTCCCACGAGAAGGCAGTTCAAAAGTTTCAAGACTTGTACATAAAGAGCAGCAAATATTTCAAAGACTTTAAAGTTAAATTCGTTCGCCTGGCTAGACAGCGACACTGCCCCAAGGATCAATGGAAGGCAGAATTGCATCACCGTCTCACGTCCTATCTAAAAGGACTGGCCGAACCTTCCTACCTCAGCCCGGATACTAACTTCAATGTTTACTACAAATTATTATAGTCTTTAGATAAAGGAAAACGTATATCTAACCATACGGGCGCCTAGAAGGGAACCTCCAACCCATCCGCTAAGAGATCTGGCTATTCCACGCCTTCGACGGACTCCCATCGGAATTTAGCCAAAGCGGCTAACCCGGAAAAACCCAAGACCTTTTTCGATTATTCTAAACCAACCAACACCTTCAACCAACGTCCCTCCAGCGACGAGTTAAAGCGTCTCCACCGTCTAGGACTTTACTTCGCTTATAAAAAACCCGGATATTTATCCACTACCTATCCGGAAAAGGCTAAATATAATAAGGCCCTAGACGCGCGCATTGCAAAAATCGCCGACCAGACCTAGGGCAGCGCGAAGGAGGAGGAGGACGAAGACTAGTACTCCAGTGAAGAAGCGAATAGTAAAAACAAGGACAAATAGGCCACTAAACCGGACTCGGAAAACTAATTCCCCAAGATGAAGTCTCCTTCTTAGGAGAAGTGTCCACGGCAAATGGGATTGTCAGTACAAGAAAACCAATTACAACTACAACAAGTACTTTCAGTTTACGGAAATGCTTGGGAGGGAGCGGTACCTCCTTCCTCGTACCTTATATAATAGTTAATAATAGTTTAACAATAACAACTCATTCAGCCCTAATTGATACTAGAGCCGACGCCTCGTTGATTATAAATGCGTCATTCGCACAAAAAATTGTAGACCGCTTACATATTCAACAATATCGAGATTTTACACCTGGATACATCACCCCGTATAAGAAAGCCCCTCCGGACACAATAAACCTAGCGTTGAAAGTAACCATTAATATACAAGGATACCGTTTCCTAGATCAATAGATCATTGTACTACCCAGTATAAAGAGAAATATGATTATTAGGAGGATGTAGTTAACTCGACACCACGTATTACCGGATTGTCGTACCAACCACCTTCTCTTCCCAAAGGAAATAAAGCTACACCCGTTCACAGGCGATATCGAAATGAAATCCTTACCCAAGCTGATTTACGACCCGTCATTTCAATAAAATATGGAACGCAGAGAGGCCTTAATGAAGAAGGAAGATAAGCAACGTCACAATGGGGCCCTATCACAAATCCGATTCCTCGAAAAACAAAAATCAACGCCGCCTTCTACTAAGAAGCCGGAAATGGCGACACCCCCAAAAGAGCCCCAGCAATCTACCACTTACTAGGATGTCCTACGGAGGATCAAAGAACTGGAACAGCAAGTAGCCGGAATCCGGCCGGAGTCACGACCAACTAAAGGTTCAAAACCTTAGAGGCTAAGTATAATCTATTCGGGGGAACCACTCAGATCCACCACGGTATCAGCCCATTAATAGGCAATAGACTAAATAGAATACGAACTATACGATAGACCACAAACTATACACCTAGAAATGGAACCCCCGGAGACTAAGCCTACTTCTAGGAACCATACGATCAAGGTCGACTATCCATTGCAAGATGCCCAAAGTCCCTACCGCTTGAGAAAGATGTTCTCTTAGGTAAAGGAGCGCCCCCGAGACTATGCCGTCGTCAATGCGGTCATTTTCGATCACTACGTCCAAGGTGGTTCAGTACCGGAATCCACTAGCTTGTACGAAATCAACGGCCTAATTGAAAGTTTGCAAGCTCAAAAAGATCCATTGGAGATAGATAAAACCGAATTAAAACAGCTGGTAAACGAACGACTACCGTATCGCTACGACGAATATCGAGATGTATTCAGCAAACGGGCCTCGGATATACTACCAGATTCACGTCCTATCGACCACAAGATTATATTGGAAAACAACCGACGGCCGGAAGAACTAAGATATAATTCATTATACAAAATAACTTTAGAAGAGCTCGAGGAGTATAGGAAGTACATTACCGAAAATCTTCAGAAAAGCTTCATCGAGGCCAGCTCGGCCCCTTGGGCAGCCCCTATCCTCTTCGTACTAAAGGCGAATAGCGGACTACGCTTTTGCGTCAACTACCGGAAGCTTAACTCCTTATCAAAGAAGGACCGTTACCTACTACCCCTCATCGAAGAAACGTTAACTCGGATTAGTAAAGTAAAAATCTTTACTAAGATCGATATCCGATAAGCCTTCTACCATATTAGGATAGATCCTAATTCTAAAGATTTAACAACGTTCAGAACTCGCTACGGAGCCTATAAATACAAAGTCCTACCTTTTAGTTTATCCAACAGCCCCTCATTATTTTAACACTTCATAAACGACACATTAATAGGGTACATCGACGTATTCTACAACGCCTACATCGATAATATCTTTATTTATTCGGATAATGAGGAAGATTATGAGGACTACATTAAGAAGGTTTTGACCAGGCTGAGGGAAGCTGGACTTCAAGCGGACATCAAAAAATGCAAATTCCACGTAACGGAAACTAAATTCTTAGGCTTCATTATCGGCGTAGATAGAATAAGCGTAGATCCTTCAAAAGTGGCCGCCGTAAAGGAATAGAAGGAGCCCACTTCGGTCAAAGGAGTGTAAACCTTTTTAGGATTTTATAACTTTTACTGAAAATTCATCCGGGAATTTAGAAAAATCGCCCGTCCTTTACACAAGCTAACTTGTAAGGACCTATCCTTATTCTTATAGATTGAGGAATGCCAGAGGAGCTTTGACGAGCTTAAACGACGACTTCTCGAAGCACCCGTATTAGCCCATTTCTCCTACGACCGGGAAACCAAGGTGGAAACTAATGCCTCCGACGGAGTATATACTAGTGTAATAACACAACTCCAGGAAGACGGCGACTAGCACCCGGTAGCCTTCTACTTAAAAATTATGGCGCCCGCTGAATTAAATTATCAAATCCACGACAAGGAGCTCCTGGCAGTCATCCGCGCATTGGAACTATAGCGCCCAAAGTTGAAGGGTATCCAAGACGCCCCTTTCATAGTAGTCACCGACTACCAAGCCCTAGAATATTTCGGGACCAAGAAATTACTCAATAGTCGCCAAGTTCGGTAGTCCGAACTCCTATCTAAGTACTACTTTAGGATAACGTACAAACCGGGGAAAGAAAATATAGTTACCGACTCCCTATCCCGAAAGTCAAAAGACTTAAAGACCATTAAAAACAAGAAAGAAGCTCAGCATACTCTACGGCTCTTAAAGCCAGAAGATAGCTACTTCGTATTCGCCAGCGACAAAATAGACACTCCAGTAGCGGAGCTAGCTTTACTAAATAATAGAGAGACGCCTCCCCTAATATCTAGGCTAGACCTGGTAGACGCCCTATTGAAGGCGAATAGGGAAGATGAGTCGTTATCGGTATATCGCTCTAAATTAGGAGAAGGCCCGTTTAAAATTGAAAACGGCCTCCTTACATATCAAGGACGACTGGTAGTACCGGAAACGGGTAACCTACGCACGAACGTAGTATACGAAGCCCATTCCCGGTTAGCTACCGCCTACCCAGGACGTAATAAAACAAGGAAACTCTTACAAGACAAATACTAGTGGCCAGGCATGATGGCTAACGTAGACAAATATATCAATAACTATTGGGTCTATCGATCGTCCAAGGTACCCCGAAACAAAACACCAGGCAAGCTTCATACGATACCTGTCCAAAACGACTATAGGCCGTGGCAATCGCTAGTAGTAGACTTCAAATCCATGCCCATGGATAAAAGAGGCTACAACAACGTGCTAGTTATTGTAGACCGATTCTCGAAAATGGTTTAGACCTGCCCTTACAAAGATACGGTTACTACCAGAGACGCTGCATACTTATTCTATAAAGGACCTTTCCGCATCTTTAGCCCCCCACAGGAAGTAATTAGCAATAATAGCCCCCAGTTTATATCGGATTTTATCTAGGAACTCTCGAAACTTTAGGGAACGACCTGGAAATTGAGTACCCCAGGGCACTCACAGACCGCAAGGCAGGCCGAAATCATAAATCAATACATTAACCAAAAGCTCCAGCCCTTTGTAAATCACAACCAAGACAACTGGTCCCTGGCGCTGCCCGCCCTAGATGCAGTACAGGCAACACTACCACATAAGAGCTTGGGAGGGCTATCGCCCTATAAGGTAATCTTCGGCTTCCCAATACCTATACCATTCAATTAGGAATCGAAATCTAAATTGTCAATAGACTTCACTCGTAGGGAACGGCTATCACGACAGGAGGCGCAAGATACAACCAAACTAATCGACGGTTTCCAAGCCGCCGCAAGAGAGGTAATCACGAAGGCACAAGCACGCTAAACAGACTAAACCAATCGCAGTAGGAGGGATCCTGATTTTAGGGTAGGGGATAAGGTATTTATTATCAAACAGGGATGGTCTACGGACCGACCTAGTAATAAATTAAATTACCCCCTCACCCACACCCCCTACCGGATTAAGGCTATACGAAGCCACTCGTACGAATTCAACCTTCCAGCTATATGGCAAAGCAGCAAAACGTACCACGCAGACCGGCTTCGAAAAGACCCCGGCAATCCATTACCTGGACAAGCCAATGAAAACCCCAGTAGCGAAATAGTAGGGGACCGAGAAGAATAGGAAGTATCGAAAGTAGTAACTTCGAAGTTGGTATATAGCCGGTTATTATATTAAGTAGAATAGAAGGGCTAGGACCCAGACCTAGAGTAGTATCCAGCAGGAGACTTCAAAAACTCCCCTATAGCGCTGCGAAGGTTCTACAAAGAAAACCCTACTAAACCGGGACCGCCAATACAATTGGATATTTGGGAACAA